CCCTTGAGGGAGGTCACTCCACTAGTTGGGCAAGGCTGGGTTGGAACTTGGTGTTTCTAACCCTCTGGCAGGCCACTTCCTCTTGGCCTCCTCTGTCACCTGGAGGCTTACCAGGTGTCCCATTCATTTCATCATTTAGATCCTTAGGAGCTGTGTGACCCTGAGCAAGTTGCTTAACTTTGCTGTACCTGCTTTCCCTGCTGTGATAATAGGCCCTAGTGATAAGAATTGAATGAGATGATGCCTATAAGGCCCTGAATGCACATGGGGGAAGAGTAACCTTCATCTTTCTGCTTTCTGCCTAGGGTCTGGGCAGAGGCCTCCTTGATCATCCCACCCCTCAGGCAGTGTCAGAGCTCTCTCAGGTGGAGTGAGGGGTGGTTTTCTAGAGGTTCCTTGGGCCCTGGAAGGGAGGTGTGAAGTGGAAGGAAAGTGCTGGAAAGAATGGCTCCCTCTCTCACCAGACCTCTTGCCTTTCTTATTGTGGTGTCACTGGTATGGGTCCTGCAGCTACAGGAATGGCCGTCAGGTGTCACCCTCAGCTCATGCTTGAAGTGAAGGCAGCACAGGAAGAGGAAAAGGAGCTGGCTGGAGAAAGGGAGGAGGAGGACCCATCCCTCCCCTCCCACACCCCCTCTGGAAGTGGGTGAGCTTGGAGAGGGCCCGGGGTGGTGGGATGGCTGTTAATTTCTGCAGGAAGGTGTTGTACAAAGCCTCATTTGTCTGCCTTCAGAATTCTCCCTCCCATGCTGATAGCAAATCCCAATTCAACAGGTTCTTTATGGGGCACCTGCTGCACACATAGGGTAATTTTACTGAACACCTACTATGTGCAGACTCTGTACACACAGTTGGCCATTCAGTATTGACAACAACCCTCTGGGTTAGTACGATTATGAGTCCCATGTGATAGACAAGAAAACCGAGGCTCATACTGGTTATGTGTTGGGCCTGAGGTTACCCAGCGGGACAAGGATTGAGGGCTTTCTGGAGCCTAAATTCTTTCTCCTACACCATATTTACTTCCAGAGAGTCCTAGGATAGGTAACTTGCAGCAGGCTTCCCATTGGGTTTGGAGTGGATGTGGCCGGTGGCCCTGCTGTCTGGCTAGAGAGGAGCTCAGACAGGTCATGCTGCCAGCAGGCAGAGGAAGGAACCACATCCACATCCACTGGGGTGGCTGGGAGTGGAGTCTGGATTCGTTGTGGGTATTGGACATGCGCAGGCTGCACACACAGCAGCAATGAGACGTACTCTGCCCATGTGCTTCTCTGAGCAAACTCCCCCACCCAGAGTTACTTCAATTTCTTTACCTGTCAATTCCAGGGGCAGACTTTGTTCATCCAATACACTGTCCCGGCTTCCTGCCTCCTGCTGGCCTCTGTACTGACCACTTCTCAAGGACAGATACTAAGAGAGACAAGACAAGCCACCCCCCCCCACCTGCAGTCACCCCACTTGAAGTCTAGACCAGTGGTCTCCAAAGAGTGTTTGGCCATGCTCCCTAACAATAAAAAAACATTATTGAGAGACACTAGTAATATAAGCATATTTTTATGTTGTTTACCTTATAAACCACACTCAACCTAAGTGAAAAGAGGAGATTAAAAAAAAATAGATGCCCTACTATTTTCCTCCTGTACCTCTGTACTCATATACACACAATACTTTAGCCCCAACTGTTCTAGGAGATGAGAGGAGAGTGTTGGTCCAACTCTGCTCAAGATGAATGTGTGGTCAGCGTTCCAGAACACCCTTGCCCACCCCTTCCAGGCCCTAGCAATGGAAGGGAGAAACTTCAGGGACAGCAGGTGGGAGTGTGGGTAGACAGGAAGCAGAAGCAGGGCCATGTCTGAGGAGAGATCCAGATAATCCAGACAAGAGGCAGGTTTTAATTTTCGATCCTGATGCTGAAAATTTTGTGACTGCTTTTTACACTGTCTCAGGACATACAGGACCAGGGCACTGTGCCCCAGGTAGTATCTGATTTCATGTACTTTAGGTAGTTCTGTTCCATTTCCAACAGTTTAAACCATGCCATTCCCCCCTTCCCAGAGGTTGGGGAACATTCCACCTACTACAGGAAGGAGAGAGCCCATCTGGGGAAGCACTTAGGTGCCCCCTTCTCTGGGGCTGCCACCTCCACTGTCCCTCCTGGGTTAGAGGCCCCTGTGTCCCCCTCACCCGGGTAGATCCTCATGTAGGGCCCAGCACTTGGGGGACCTCCATGAATGTGGGTTGCGGGAGAAGAAGGGCATGAGGCCGCATTTGGGGTACAGAAGGGAGCCCCTCTATGAGGCTTAAGAGAAGCCTTAAGAGAGAAGTCTTAAGAGAAGTCTTAAAAGAAGCCCCTTCCCCCCAACCCTGTCTGGGTGCTGGAGAAGAACCAAACGGCCTGTGAAGGCATCTGTCTGCCCTTGAGGGTAGCTGCCAAGACGGCAGCCATTATGGCTGGCCTGGTGTGGGTGCCTTTGTGAGCAGAGGCTGGGTGTCTGTTTCTGTAGTCACTGGGCGCTTGTTCTGTGGGGTGAGGGGTGTGGGGGTGGGGGCACGTACGTGAGGCTGGGCACGAACAGCCTCACCTACCAACCGTACTCCTGCCAGGTACAACCAGCTACTGCGGCTGCCCGCCGTCCGCCTCCTCCCTTCCCTGGGCATGGCCAAGCCGGGGGGCAAATGACTTGGCGGGTACCTCCCCTTGCTTGGACCCACTGGTGCAGGGCGGGCTCACCTAGGGCACAGGCAGGACTCCCAGCTAGGTGGGTGCTCTGCCAACACCGCTCCCCGGCTCCCGGCTCCCGGCCAGGAGGATGGGGGGAGTGAGGCATGGGAGGGGGCTCAGGGCGGAGATAATGCCCCCCCTCCCACCTCCTCTCACAGGCTGTATGCGTAGAGCAGGGCAGAAGGGTCTGAAAAGAAGGGGGAGTTGCTCTGTTTAGGGCCAGGAAATGATTTCCATGCAAATTAGATGCAAACTCCTTAATGAGTTTGCAATTAGGAGAGGAGGCTGCCAGGCCCGGGCAATGCCTGCGGGTTTTATGAATGGGCCTGCGTGGGGTGGGGGTGGCGGCGCGCCGGCCCGCCCCCACATTTCCCTGCCGCTGCGGCCGCGACATGCCGCGCCGCACGTTGCTGCCTCCCGGCCCCGCCGCGACCTGGCCCTCCACCAGCGGGTCAGCTGCTTCAGACGGGGCTCCGGAGGCTGTCGCCCAGAGTCCCCGCCACGCCATCCCGGCCTCCCTCCCACCGCCGACGACGCGTCGGCCGACGACACGCCCCCCTGGGGCCCGGCAGGGGCTCTCCCCTCTGGCGCCCCTTTCCCCGGTTATTGGTTATTGGAATGGCTTCCCCAAGCAGGAGGCAGTGAGGTTAGCCTTCAGGCCCTGCTGCCCTTACGGTGGGCAGCTCTGGGAGGTCACTGACCATAGAAGGGGGGTGGGCCCCCAACTTGGGAGGGCAATGACCTTGGGAGGGATGGAAGTATAGGTGAGAGGAGAGGAACCAGTTCCAATTCCAGATTGCACCTCCCCAATCATGCCAGTTCCCCCCTGCCTAACCTCAAAAGGCCTGTTCCCACCACCCCAAGGCACCTGCTTTTTTTCTGCAGCTCTACTGCAGGTCTGCTCTGGGCCTTGCTCTGACCTGGGGCCAAAGAGTGGGTCTCCTGGGTGGGTGGTCAGCTCTATTCAGAAAGAGACTCAGCAGAGTTTGAGCCCTATTAGGACACAGACCCATCCCCTCCCCCTACTGCTTTCAGAGTAAATTAACTAATTACCTCCAATTAAAGCGCCATGCTCTCTGTTCCCTCCTGGGCCTCAATCCCCGCCCCTGGGAGTCCCCTTCACCCAGGCTAGGTCTGGAAGGAGGCCTGGCCATTAGGGTGGAAGTCTGGGAATCAGTGAGTGGAACAGGGGAGGAGAGAAGCCCACAGAACCATTTACTTTTGCGGAGTGGTCTGGGTAGCCAGAGCCTCTGCCTTTCTTGGGGTCTGGGGTACATAGGCCCATGTGGGGCCTGATGGTCGAAAGCAGTGGGCCACCTTTGGAGGTTAAGACCTGGGCCAAGGGCCTGTGCAGATACTGAGGCCCTGAGGGTGACCCTCCTCAGAAAAAGCAACTTCAGGGACAGATTCTAGGAGCTGCCAGTTCTTGGTGGCACCTGTTGCCTCCCTTACCCGACATACCAGGAGGCACTCCAGATGCCCAGGCATCCATCCAGTCTCTCCTCCCTCTAACCCAAACTCCTCCAGCTACAGCAGTGAGAAGCCCTTCATTCTTTTTCTCCTGCCCATTTGTGGCTCTGAAGCACAGGCCCTAGCACTAACATGGCCCACACCACCCTGACACTGCCCTGACACCCCCCTGGCCCCACGTGTGAGACGTGACGAGGAGGATGTCTGGCGGCCAGAGGCAGAGTGATGGGTTGTTGACCTGGCCTTTCCCGAGACAGGGCAGTACCACACCAGGCTGTGACTCAGGCCCCTACCCCACCTTGAGCCCCACCATGCCACAGACCTGGGCTTGGGCCATCCTTGTGTTTGGGGGGTGGGGATGGACGCAGAGATTTGTCAGTTGAGGACTTCTTTTGGGGGCCACTTCTCCCAGTCCTGGCAGGGCACCACACACATCAGTGGGTGTATGAGCCATTTGGGGCAGGGGCAGGTTTCCACACACGGAAAAGGCTGCCTCTGGTATGTCCTGAGCCCCCATCTGCCAGCGTGGCTTCCCCTCCTCTGTCTACTGAAAGCCAGCTTAAAACTCCCCACCTCCAGAAAGGCTTCAGCATGCCTCTCTTATCTGTGGTCAGTATGCCACTCTCAGCTGGCTCCTGGTTTTCACTTGTTTCTCTGACTCTTGTCTCCTCCAGACCCTCTGAGAGAGTGCATCTGCCGAACTCTGTTCTTTCCTGCACTTCCCAGTGGCCAGCAGAGGGCGCCCCCCAAAGACTGAGGCACCAGGGAGGGAAGGAACAGACAATCCGCTTCCCTGGATCCAGCTCTGTGCAAAGTCCAGGCTCCTGGGTCCGTTTGTGTAAAATGAAACTGACCCAAGATGCCTTACTTCCTGAGGATCTGGGCTTAACTTGTCAGCAGAGTGCCAGAGGTTAGACTGCAGGCTGAACCCAGGTGACTGTCTTGGAGATGAACCCAGGTGGGCCCCCGGGGCCAGGAAGGAAAGGATGAGGGAGCTGCCCCCTCCCAGCAGCCCTAATGGGGAAGGGGCACTGGACAATGGCACGTTTCCTCCCCTGTCCCTGGGAGAAGGGTTGGGAGGTGCCACAGAAAATAGCTGTTGTCCCACCCGGTGGGAGGGGCTGCTGTGGATATCTGGGCCACATTTGGATTCCTGGCAGGAGGGAGAGCTGGTCAATTTGGGATCCACCAGGGATCTAAGATCCATCCCTTGGTGGCCTCTCACCATTACATTTCTGGAGAGTTCTCTACAAACAGGTGTCTAGGGCACAAACTGGTAATACGGGTGAATTCATGCCAGTCTAGGAGGGGCCCTGACACTCATTTCTGTGAATGTGGCCCTAGGGCCCTGGGCAGCAGCCTGCTCTTCTGGGCCATCAGACCTTTCTGCCATCCTGTCAGGGTGTGCATAGTGAGCTTCTGGCCTTCCCATTCTCGAAATACTGGGAAATAGGCTCTGTATTCATCCTGAACATTCCACTTCCTCCAGGGAGATGATAGAGAGGAGAAGGGGAGTGGGGCTACAGTATCTTTTAGGTACCCCACCCTATGAAAGGTGGGGAAAGGCTTACTGTTAGGTCATCTCACACAAAAGCCTGGGAATGTTACTGGGACTGGGACGGGGCGGCGGGGTGGGGGGGGGGGGCGAGGGGGGGGAAGGGCGACGGGACACCAGGGGTGTTTCTTTCTGGGGTTTGGGGTTTGGGGTTTGGGGAGGGGACAACACGGAGAAAACCCCGATCGGCTAGGTTCCAGGACGCCCAAGCTGGGAACAGGGGGATGGCCATAATGGTCTAGCAGCAGCGGACGATGGCAAAGGAGGGAGGTGAAAGGGGTTAGCGATGCGCCCACCCGGGCTCTCCCCCAGCCCCTCTCCCCCAGCCCCTCTCCCCCAGCTCTCCCCAGCCTGGCCCGCCGCGGCCCCTCCTCCAGACCTGGGCGCCGCCTCCCCCTCCCCTCCTCCTCCCCCTCCCACCCGGCGCTGCAGCTGCTGCCGACGGACCATTCTGCACGTAGCGAATGGAGGAGACGCACAAGGGAGGCCTCAAGTGCGCGCGCGCGGGAGCCGGAGCCGCGCGGGCGGGGGAGCGGCTGCGAGCGCGCG